TCTACCTGATGATGGATGTCCTCAGATGTTAAAAGGAAGTGAGAAACATACACAAACACCCTCACGAGAGAGAGAGAGAGAGAGAGAGAGAGAGAGAGAGAGAGAGAGAATGTGAATGTGAATGTGAATGTGAATGTGAATGTGCATACACTTTGAGAAAGCTTGTCATAAAAACTCACAGGGGGAGGGACCAGAGCGTAGCAGCATAACCATTCCTACTGACGCCAAAAACAACTGCTCTTATGCATTAACTGCAGAATGGTTCTGCAGATGAAAATTGTAATGTACATATTAAAGCGTATATTAAAAGTTGCCAATCACTCTTTAGCTATAGGACAAAACGCTCTCCATTCAAACCCAAAAACTAAGGACCCGAGCCATGCCTTGTTCAGACAGGCACTTGAGCTTATATCTTAGGATAAAACTTGGACTCTGAGAGTATGTTTGGCTGATTAAGCACAAAGCGCACACCCAAGGTGAATATCAAGTATTATGCGTTCATATAACACATTCACCAGTAAGTTTTTATGTAGTACACTCAAAGAAGATTGAAAGCCAAACCAAAAGTATGTATTTAATGTCGACCTTAAACTAACCAAAAGAATTTATTTCAAGTCAAATTCAAGCTCACCTATAGTTCATGCTATGCAAAGTAAAAAACCGAGCTTTTGACCCATCTCATGGTCTGTTAAAAAAAAAAGTCTCAAATAAGGGTGAGTTTCAAAATATTTTTCAAATCCAAGTCATTTTAAAAACTTCAGTTGGTTTGACGTTTTTAAGCCAAAATACGTCAGTTAGTTTGACGTCATTAAGTTTCAAAATAAGTTTAAAAACGTCAGTTGATCTGACGTTTTAAACTTATTATAGAATCCAATATACTACTTAAACACATCAGTTGGACTGACGTCTTTAGAAGAAGCGTCAGTCCAAATGACGCGTTTGTTTTAAAATTTGACCGCCTCACACTAAGCCCACAAAGTCCATATAACTTAAAAGGACTGCTGCCTCCATGCCTAAATAAAAAAATTATATTAATATTTATCACAAATATTGTCATCACGTCAATGAATTCTACCTCCACATTTGCCTATTTTAAATTATCATAAGTGACCCCTATTATTTTCTCTCAGATTTTAATGTAATCCCTAAAATTTTAATTTTTTTAATCTAATCCATTAATTATCAATTTTATTTCAATTAAATCATTGATAGTTGAGAGACTAAAATAAGACAATTGAAAGTTCATAGATTAACTTGAAATTGGAGATAAAATTCATGACTAATTATGAAATTTACCGTATTTTTTTATAAAATATTACAAAAGCATCAAATAAATATAATTTTTAATCAATTTCTAATTAATTTTAATTTCTAAAAATATTTTGCTCCCTCTCTTTTTGAGAGGATGATTTTTTTTTTTTAAATTTAATTACATTCAATAAATAAATTTTGATAATTTAAATTTAAATATACTTATATTTTTTAGCATATGAAACTTAAAAAATTGAAAACGTATACATATAATTAATTTTTTTTATTATATAATTATAAATGCATACATAAAATAAAAATAAAATTTTATTTGTAATGTTGATCATGTTGACATTAATATTTATTAAGTTGTTAAAAAACATAAGTTATTCAGAACGTGTACATGTTAAAAAAAGATGTCAACAACGTGATTGGTATTCAAAACAACACAAAGGATTATCGAGTACACATAAACATGATGGGATAAAAGTATCAGACGCATCACCAGTCAAAGAAACATGAATGAGCTTTCTGATTAATGTCAGTGGTAATATATATATCCTGAGCTTTCTGATTTCTCTGATTGGGACGATGATGCGTCTGACACTTTTATCCCATCATATTTATATGTACTCGATAATCTTTTATGTTGTTTTGAATATCAATCACGTTGTTAATATCCTTTTTTAACATGTACACGTTCTGAATAACTTATGTTTTTTTACAGCTTAATAAACATTAATGTCGACATGATCAACATTACAAATAAAATTTTATTTTTATTTTATGTATGCATTTATAGTTATATAATAAAANTATACGTAATACCCTGCAACAACACCAAAGAGAGTTCATTTAACCTGCTAAAACTCCCTTCTTCCAACCAAAAATACCGCCTCCTAAAGAAAGACAAACAAAAAATAGGATTATGAAATCGGTGCAATATGCTGTGTAAAAGGCTCAGTTCGACTGAAAGCAACTAGCTCCAGATTTGGTAGGTACATCAGAAGTCAATCGTAAAGTATCTTAAATGTTTCCTCTCAGCNAATCCAAGTCATTTTAAAAACTTCAGTTGGTTTGACGTTTTTAAGCCAAAATACGTCAGTTAGTTTGACGTCATTAAGTTTCAAAATAAGTTTAAAAACGTCAGTTGATCTGACGTTTTAAACTTATTATAGAATCCAATATACTACTTAAACACATCAGTTGGACTGACGTCTTTAGAAGAAGCGTCAGTCCAAATGACGCGTTTGTTTTAAAATTTGACCGCCTCACACTAAGCCCACAAAGTCCATATAACTTAAAAGGACTGCTGCCTCCATGCCTAAATAAAAAAATTATATTAATATTTATCACAAATATTGTCATCACGTCAATGAATTCTACCTCCACATTTGCCTATTTTAAATTATCATAAGTGACCCCTATTATTTTCTCTCAGATTTTAATGTAATCCCTAAAATTTTAATTTTTTTAATCTAATCCATTAATTATCAATTTTATTTCAATTAAATCATTGATAGTTGAGAGACTAAAATAAGACAATTGAAAGTTCATAGATTAACTTGAAATTGGAGATAAAATTCATGACTAATTATGAAATTTACCGTATTTTTTTATAAAATATTACAAAAGCATCAAATAAATATAATTTTTAATCAATTTCTAATTAATTTTAATTTCTAAAAATATTTTGCTCCCTCTCTTTTTGAGAGGATGATTTTTTTTTTTTAAATTTAATTACATTCAATAAATAAATTTTGATAATTTAAATTTAAATATACTTATATTTTTTAGCATATGAAACTTAAAAAATTGAAAACGTATACATATAATTAATTTTTTTTATTATATAATTATAAATGCATACATAAAATAAAAATAAAATTTTATTTGTAATGTTGATCATGTTGACATTAATATTTATTAAGTTGTTAAAAAACATAAGTTATTCAGAACGTGTACATGTTAAAAAAAGATGTCAACAACGTGATTGGTATTCAAAACAACACAAAGGATTATCGAGTACACATAAACATGATGGGATAAAAGTATCAGACGCATCACCAGTCAAAGAAACATGAATGAGCTTTCTGATTAATGTCAGTGGTAATATATATATCCTGAGCTTTCTGATTTCTCTGATTGGGACGATGATGCGTCTGACACTTTTATCCCATCATATTTATATGTACTCGATAATCTTTTATGTTGTTTTGAATATCAATCACGTTGTTAATATCCTTTTTTAACATGTACACGTTCTGAATAACTTATGTTTTTTTACAGCTTAATAAACATTAATGTCGACATGATCAACATTACAAATAAAATTTTATTTTTATTTTATGTATGCATTTATAGTTATATAATAAAAAAAATTAATTATATGTATATGTTTTCAATTTTTTAAGTTTCATATGCTAAAAAATATAAGTATATTTAAATTATCAAAATTTATTTATTGAATGTAATTAAATTTTTAAATACATAAAAAAAATCATCGTCTCAAAAAGAGAGGGAATAAAACATTTTTAGAAATTAAAATTAATTAGAAATTGATTAAAAATTATATTTATTTGATGCTTTTGCAATATTTTATAAAAAAAATACGATAAATTTCATAGTTAGTCATAAATTTTATCTCTAATTTCAAGTTAATCCATGAACTTTCACTTGTCTTGTTTTAGTCTCTCAACTATCAATAATTTAATTGAAATAAAATTGATAATTGATGAATTAAATTAAAAAAATTAAAATTTTAGGAACTACATTAAAATCCCAAAAAAAATGATAGGAGTCACTTATGATAATTACCCAAATAAATATTAATTTATTTTTGTATTCAAGCATTAGATTTTTTAATTTTTGTATTCAAGCATTTTAGACTAATTTATTTTTTTATTCAAGCATTATATTTTTATTCAAGATTTTTTTATTTTTTTATCCAAGCATTTTCGACTAATGTCCTTTTAGTTAATAAAATAGGCATATGTGCAAGCAGCATTCATTGACGTGACGTGATGACAAAATTTGTGATAAATATTAATATAATTTTTTTTATTTAGGCATGAAGACAACAATCATTTTAAGTTATATAAACTTTGTGAACTTGGTCTGAGACGTTCAGATTTTAAAACAAACGCATCATTTGAACTGACGCTTCTTTTAAAGACGTCAATCCAACAAACGTGTTTAAACAATATATTGGGTCTCATAATAAGCTTAAAAACGTCAGTTGGTCTGACGTTTTTAAGTTAAAGACGTCAAATCAACTGACTTCTTTTGGCTTAAAAATGTCAGACTAACTAACGTTTTTAAAATGGTCTGGGTTTGAAAAATATTTTGAAACCCACCTTTAATTGGGACTTTTTTTTTTAAAGACCATGGGATGGGTCAAAAGCTCTAAAAAAAACCCCAGTTGAAATTAAATTGGACTGTGGACCATCACAATCTGACCCCAGCCCAGCTCAACAAGGTTTTTTCTTTCTTTCATTTTTTTTTTGTGCTACGGGGTGGGGGATTCAAAAACGTCCAGAGCAGATTGAAACACTTTTCAAGTCATTTATCTCACAGGACATCACACTAAATCCCATAAAGGATACCAGTATCAGCTAGAACTTGAAGGGAAAACGGATGCCAAAAAACAGCAGTATAGTTTTCTAATCTGTTCTTATGAAATTTTTAAACATGTAGCATGTTCTCGAGAACATACCAAAAATATTTGAGCAAAATTGTCCAATGCCTATGTCATCTGCCACTTCGGCATTAGATCTGGCAGATCCATTGAGTAACTTTATCAAAATGTGGTATAATTTGCTATAAAATAGGAAAATAGTGGCTTGAACCAACAATTTAAGGTGGCACCATATTCTGTTCTACCCAAAAGTGCTCAATAGCTCGAAGGATTGGATTCATTGTATACATTATGAGAGTTGTTTTACCTTTGAGTTCAGGATCTTTTGGCTGTCGCTGAAATACTGGTTTGGATGATTTATCCCAGCATCACAGGATGATCCATGAACAGCTTCAAATGTCAAGGTACATGCTAGCTACATATATGAAAATCACAAACATAGCCCATGTCAAGATAAGCAAGTATAAAGAGCTTAGAAACCATCTTGAAGACCACTTCACACCAATACCTGATAATGTCTATTTCGCACTTTGTCGATCACATCCTCCAACGCTCGATTGCCCACGCCCATTTTACCAAGGGCAGCTCTCAAATTCTCCTCACTGTTTTGGAGAATTTGAACAGCAATGGATGAAATAATTCACCAAATTATTAGCTAAAGTATGGCATCACAATATTCAAATGATACATGATGTGGCATCACAATATTCAAATGATACATGACAACCATTGAGAAGAGACAAAACTATACAAAGTGAATAATGACTGCTCAAGTTAATATCCACCATAGTGTCAATGACTCAATAGCATTAGGCAGCAGTTATCATGTATGAATTGCATATTACAATTATTCTGAACTGCTTTAGTATTTATCTTTAAAGCACATGACCAGATAATCTCACTTACGTTCCTACTCTTCTCATTTCACGGTTCTATTTCATACTTGCTGTGACGCTTTTGTTTCTTCTTGTGTTCTTGTTTGTCTTGTGCTTTAGCTATCCTAGCACTGTTATTAATCTTTATTCTAATTATATGATCATCTCATTTGCACTATCTTGGAGTAAATATCTCAAAATTTGATCATTTTTGTCCTCTTATATCCACCAATTTTGATAGTCACTTCACAGATGTTAGTGGTTCAGTTCATAGAGAAGGTACATTTACTTTTCTTAGACAGATAAAAATCATCATTCCCAGTTGATTTCAAGCCTTCATAAGTGGAAGATGCATAAGTTAATAGATTTCACCTGAAATGACGATAAGGGCAGCCATGATGATCTCCAACACCCGGAGTTGATGAGATGATTTTTTGACAGGAATAAGGAGTGTAATCCTGCATTTAACGAGGGAAAAATAAACAATAAAAACATATGTGATAAGTGCACAATGTGTCTTAACATAGGAAGCTAAAGCTTATGGTGCTAACATACAACTTTACAAAACATTTATACTACTCTAAATGTGGTTGAAACTCTCTTGGACCACGGGGCTATCAATTCTCAATCCCATCAAAACAAATTTTCATTCAAATTCTAAGTAAAAATTGCAATAAAATCTCAATAATTCCAATGGACAGATATATGTCATTGGACCTCAGGGTCTTGAACTTCAGAACCATAAATTTTGCAAGAACTATATTCTCACCAAGAAACTTCCCATCAGTTTTGTCATATAATCGCGGGTCCAATTCCTTTGGTAATCTAGTTAATCAAGATGCGAAGAGTACAAAATTTAGCAAAATGCTCAAATATTAGATTCAAAATTTTCAGTTAAAAGATAAAATTTTTTACCATTCCATATATTAGGGCTGCAAATAAACCTGTCCATGAACAACTAGAGATTGCCTTGATTTAAACTCGTTCATGTTTGTACATGTATAAATGAACCAAACTTGAACCCAATTTTGAAGCTTGTTTAATAAACAAGCCAACTTTGAACATGATTAGTTTGATTCGTCTAGACTCATGGACAAAATAGAGCTCATTTATATATCTCAAAGCTCATGCTAAAATATACAAGACTTCTGTAAAACTAGTATTTGCAGCAATGTTGAGGGAATTAATCTCTTAACTAATTCATTATTAACCTTAGCTTAATCTTTTTTTTTTTAATTGAACTTGGCCCTGCATCAGCTCCTGAGATGTGGCTTTGCAAATTGGATACTATCTTTAGCTGGAGAGGTGGAGCACAGTGGTTGGAGGAATAGAGGATTCCATTTTGGGTTCAAGTGGAACAAGGAATTCCACATCGGAGTAAACCAATAAAAAAGGAAGCAGTGGGCCTTATATAAGCTTTGTGACGGTAGAGTGGGAACAGGCATCCCACGTCGAAGATTTATATGCTAAGAGCAGTAAGGGGTGCCATGTATAGAAGAACTTTGGCTTTCTCAATCTCTGACTTTGTGCATGAATGCTATGACCAGGCTGGCTTGCTTCAAATTGATTTGACCCGTGCTGAGTCGAATCTGAGTTTCGGTACAAATATGACGAGCCAAGCTTGATCAAGTAAGTTGAAGCTCGTTATGATTCCGAGCTGATCCCAGACATACTTCAGAAATAGACAAGCCGAGCTTGACCAGTCAATTACGCTGGCTCAGCTTGGTTCATTTGTAACCCTGTACGTAATCTTTTGATACTTCACAGAATCTACAAACCAAATGCCCAATTCGAACTCTGACAACATTCTTAATATCCCAGAATGTATCATAAGTGAAAAATCTGTTAATCGTGTAAAAGAGATGTCTTACAGTTCTCTTCCCTTCTTTTCCATAATTGTGACGTATACCGTATGCATATTCCTTGTCAAATCTCTCGGCACCAACCTATAACAAAAACAACAAAAAAGATGAAATTGAAAAGGCATAGGATATAAAAGCACAGGGGCTGGGCACTGCTGTTATGGTTTATAGACCAGATAATATGCATAGTCTTTTGTTAAACACCTATGCTCAACCACCCATCCACTCACTCATGCACAAAGAACTATACTTCTTAACCCGCAAGGGGAGTCTAGTGGTAAGGGAGTAGTTCGAGGTGACCTGTCTACTCGAACGTCTTGGATTCGAGTCTCAATGGTGAAACCCAAGTTTAACCGATATTTGTGGTTAGCAGGTGATTGTAGCTATCCGGGATTTACTCTGTTGGAATTGTGTCCAATACCGCCATGCTTTGGAGAGGTTCCTCGACATAAAAATAGAAAAAAAGAACTATATTCCTTTTACCAAATAGGATCAGTTTATAATTTTTCCATATCAAAAATATAACAATTTGCTTCTCTGATAACAAAGATCAAGAATATGTACACATATAATGCTGCAAAAAAAATTTCATCGCCAAAATTAAAGTGCCGCTGCTTGGACTTGTAGTTGACAAATTTAGTTATGCATCTAATGGCTCCACAAAAACAGCTTTAGTTTAACTATTGTAATAACAATGAAAAAAATGCTTCACTAACACCAGCCTTACCTTTCGTGAGAACTCCGCCTTCCAGAATGAAAGGGCATCATCCAAATTCAATCCAACACCCTAAAATTAGAGGAGAACACTATTTACTTTACAACACCAAAAAGAACAATGCACTAAGGAGCATACCATTACTATTCTCTTACACAAACTCGATATAAATACATATTCCCACAATCAGTCTATGAATGCTTAAGACTTTCATTGCTCTCAAATTTGAGAAACATTAAGCATTCTTCATACTATTTTGAACCTTTACTATAATTGCTTATGATTGACATAACACAAATGTATACAGAAAAATTTCAAACAAAGCATGAACAAGGATATGAGACAAGGACACGCCGACATGACATTTTTCAAAAAAGTAGGACATGAACAAGTTGGAGATACGCTACAAAAAATTATATTTCATATATAACATTATATAATTTATTACAAATACAGTGAAATTATATACAATTCATAAAAGATTCAGTATTTTATGATAAATAAATTTTATGTCTAGTCATCTATGTGAACTTTTAAACTAAAGCATCTTCATAATAGTCAATAATCATAAAAAAAAATTTGTAGACAATGTGTAGCTAATACATAATTTAAATAATTGCTCTCACTTTCTTAATTTCTCTTTTTTAAAACTTTTATATATCTTTTGTTTTTATTGTTATATTTGGAATACAACTTTAACATGTTTAATGTTAATAATTATATATTCTCAAATTTTTAAGTTTTGTTAGTCACATTTTAACACATATTTATTGTTTAGTAATAGACACGTTCTAAATGAAGTGTCGGACACGTCACCAAAGAAGTGTCGGACACGTCACCAAAGAAGTGTCGGACACGTGCCAGAAATTAAAATTTTATCATTTAATTATGGATACGAATAAAAGAGTATCGAACACGTGTCCGACACGGATACGTCACCTTCTCGAGAGTATCCGTGCTTCATACGTCAGAATCAATGAATAGTGGCCAAACACAAATAAAATTACAGAACATCAACAAGGCCACCAATGCTTGAAACAGTGCCCAGAATGCATTATCTGGCAACGTGTCTAACACATGGAAAAAAAATGCTAAAATTGAGGATTCTTGCTTCACATGTGTTAATATATTTGAGATAATGCATTTCGTGGATCTAGCCCAGTTCCAAATCTTCACTTTATTAACATTCTAATACACTTATGCATATGCACGAATCTAAACATGCATATTTTAGCTGAGAGATATAACCTTGAGAAACAGACCCAACTGCATCCTCCCTCCATGCTTTAAATGATGGTCCTCTCTGAGCTGCACAAAAGTGGAATGGAACAAAAATCCAAACATTTATACAGGTCTGCAATAGAATTGCTTTTTTTCTTGGAAATGAGAACAGGAAGGATAGAGACAAAAGAAAAAAGACAAGGTGGCTTTCAAGAAAACAGTAATAAGCATGATTATGTGAGAAGAATACCATTTATCTTACCTTGTCAAAAAGGTGGCGCATGCACAGCGGAAATGAACTCTTGGCTACTTGATCAATGTCTTTGAGTGATATCTCTTCAAATTCTGTTGGCTGTGGACAAGCACGCGAAAGAATCAATCAGTACAAACTCTGACCGCATGTGGAATAAATGAACTGGGGGCTGTAGCAAAGCACCTGAGAATAGTCAGGCCCCAAATAACTAACAGATAGGGCTTCCACAATCTAAGGCAACACCAGAGAAGAGTCAGACATCAACTTAGAAAGAGCCTATCATGTGGAACTTACAAAATACATGTATTAAGACTCACAGGCATCAACCGATCCTTCTCTTGTTCTCCGATGGTTGACGTCCATTTTCTGAAAATGATATTAATACATATGAGCTAATCATTTCTTCATATTTGACTGGAAATTAGTCAAATATTTTTGAGAATGAATTCATGCTAAAGCCACTCAACAGGTTATGTTATGGAGAGAAGTGCATGGCAGATATTCAGGGTATAACATTGCTAAGCAGACTTCTGTGCTTATGAGATGTGTCAACATTGACTGCCAATTCTCTATTGAAAACAAGCAGATAATATGCTTGTTTTGGATGGTAGGCAGGTCTCCTTGTATAGTTTTAGATTGTTTCTTGACCTCTATCCAGCGAAGTTGTGGTTTGGATATCTGTTAGCCAAATAATTGGCAAGTTGCTCTTCTATATATTTCTGGGTTATGCCCCTACTGTGCATGATGAGTGGCTTCTGCATCTTCTTTAACTTAAAAGAGTTTTCACTTATACCAAAAGATGAAGATAAAATAGTTTCTCTTAAATCATTGGGTAGCCAATAGGTTTTTGAATCCCTGACCCCATTCCTCCATTTAGATTTCATGCTAGACTTTAACCACAATGCTGCAAGGGCTTGGCCATAATCATTGTAGTCCATCACACAACATAAACCACAGATGACTTTTCAGGATAGTAAGTTTTCCATACCACCATGTGCGCACTTCATCGAATAAAATTTTGCCATGTACTCAAGACAGCAACAGCAACAAGATGAACAATGGTGATCTTGACAACAAAAAAAATGGCATGACAATAGTAGCAAAAAAAATGAAAATGAAAAAAATGTTGCTCCACCAAAATATGAAGGAAGGTACCCAAATAGTGTTCTAAACAGAAAACAGAAACTTTCCCATGCTTACTTTACCGATGTTCCTGCAAATGCCTAGTTAAGATGCTACTCTATGAATTGGTTGAGAAAAACCTGTTTGTCAATACAAGGGCTCTCGAAATATTGCTGCGGAATTGTGTGACAACAAGAGAAACAATCTATGACAACAAAAGAATATAAAAATCAGTCAGATTAATAGACTCTAGCACTATATATGTTAGTGGAAGAATATGAAAGTACATGTTGAAATTCACCTGGTTCATAGCAACATATGCATACCCTTTCTGGATAAATACTCGGCGGCTGGCAACAAGTTCTGGAACTTCTTCAAATGGTACCTACATTTAAAGAGAAAAGCAAAAGTATCATGTAAGCAAGCTAAATCAAACTAGCCACTATGAAACATGATAATCATTCTAGACTTGGAATGGAAAGCTCCTTTGCCCCACTCTGCCTGCCTCATGTTCAATGGGGGCAGCATTTTACCCTTGCAATGCCTACTACCACGGATCAAAATTTCGTTTCAGTCACCTAGGAAACAGAAACGTTTCAAAGTATTTTAGAAACGTTTCAACTCGTTTTAGAAACATAATGAAAAATAAACAATTTAAGAATTATTTTTTCAAAACATTGATCAAAATATATCAAAGTAATTTGAAATATCTTGAAACATTCGGAAACAATTGTGCAAATGCATTAAAACATTACAAAATACTTCAAAACATTATGAAACACCTCGAAGTATTATAATTTTGATTCTATTACCGATTCGTTTTGGTCTCCGAAACGAAAACATTTCGACTATTTCGAAACAAAATTTTGATCCTTGCCTCCTACTTTGATGGTGAACATACAGGAAATTTTTCTCATCCCACCCAGAAGCAGCACATGTATAGGACCATAGGTGATAAGTTTTGGGCCACAACAACCCTCCAGGTGGGACCAGTATAATGTCCAGAAAACAAATAGTACATATTTGCTTATCAAAATAAGCTAGAATGCCTTTCTTATAAATATGTGTCCCTTTTATTAAATAATAGTGTTGTTGTCATAGATCTTGGAAGAAAAGATCAAGTAAGCTAAACACACCTTGTAGAATATAGCATCTGCTGCAAAAGAAGGGGAAGGAATGGAACAGAAAAGAAAGAAATTTAGAATATATCTTCAAAAAAAAAAAAAGCTAAGTTATTCAGCTGAAAGTGGGCAGTAGATTCAGCAAATAATCTGCAATTACCACTGGATAATGATTGGCCCATGGATCGCGCAACTTGGCTCAATTTTTCCTTTACACTCTGTGTGTCAAAATAAATTTACAAAATCAGCTTACCTGGAGTTTCTATGAAATATGCACTAGTGTGCTTAAAAGGAAGTAGTAGGAATAGATGTTCTCATAATGGGGCACATTAGTATGCCTATGTGTGCATGCATATTGCTTGCTTTTGGAAAGTGTGAGACAATCGAAGCCACAACAAATCAACATACGGTGCACAAATACCTCATATTCTGCAATGCTCACAGCTTTATAAGGAATGTCAAATTCTGCCATTAGTGCCCTCTACAACCAAAAAGCACAAGCACAAGGCACAGACCATCAGCATTATACTTAAAATGCTGCTAAAGCAACCAATATGACAAAAGCATAGAAAATTATCAAGAAATTGACAAAATAGACTAAATTGTACCTGGACTTCAGAAGTTTCTCGCCGAAAACGGTAACGAAAGAGGGTAGTCTCCATGGAAAGAAACCATTTTCTCAACTCCTCCCTGCAACAACAGGCAAGAAATTAAACATTAGTATAAAATTTCAGCAGACAAAAAAGTAATTAAAAAAATTAGAAGAATAAAAGCTTACGTTCTACAATACACGAGACGCAGAACAAAATGGGATATTATGTCCTTGTTGAGAACCTCAGATGCCTGCGGGTGCCTCATATTCGCTTTCCACAGATTGACTACCTACTCAAAGCCAATAACTCAAATTGAAATAAACTCTATCAAAGCTAAGGATAAAAAATCAAAACTGGACTATAATTTACCAAGTCCTCCATCTCATCGGGTTTCTTTCCTCTGGATAATCCATCAGAAATCCCTTTAAGAACTGCATTGAACAATATGAATATCACTTTTAAAATCAACCAAAAATATTCTAATTTTAAGTGGTAACTTAGACAAAATTAAACAAAAAAAGGAAATAAAGCAGTGAACCCTATCAAATACCACACAGAATTAGATCCAAACAAAGATACACAAATGCTAGAAAACCCTAAACCACAGATCCATATAGAAAAGAAGTAATTCCAGAAATGTTCCTCCAACACTGCAACTCCACATAAAAACGAGCTCAGAAGGTTTCAAAGTTGCAAAAGTAGAATAGTGAAAAAAAAACGAAAAAGAATAAATGAAATTCGCTAATTCATAAGAAATTAATTAATTGAGTGCTCGGATTTTAAGTCTCGCAAATTGTCTTCTTTTTTTCTTCTCCAAGCAACCAAAGTGAGGATAGTATAATGGGAACCTCAAATCCTCGGAGAGAAAAAGAGAAACTGACCTCGCAATCGATCGATTGCAAAAAGCTCGAAATCTTCGAGTCTGACTTCGAGTGGTGGAGCGGAACCGTAAAGAGGAAGCGCCGGCACAACGTCATCGGCGGCAAAAGCTTTCCCCTGAGATGGGAAGATTTCCATATCCGGTCACGAATCTGAGAAACCAAAGTAACAGAGCAATTGGTGGAGTAAGAACTGTTTACCGCTTCTTTTATACGTGAGAGAGAAATGGCGGGAAAGAACTTGGGCCCCGCCGAATGACACTCTACGGTAGAGGCCCGGGTCCGGCTAAAAAAAATGATCTTAATAGCTTACCGTAGAGAAGGCCCGGATGTAGGTGAAATATCTAGCGAGATATTAAGTAAATAGTTGAAATGTGCATTAAATTAGGGAATTGGTAGATTTGTGAAAACTTCCCTTGTGCCTTGTTAAAAAAAGAAAAGGTTATTGTGTAACCATTTGGATTCATAGTTCTTCTCTAATTGTTTTAGGATTCTTCCCTTATTTTTTTCTGTGAATTTAGAGTGTTAATTTTTTATGTTCTTTGTTTACCACTGCATCAACTTGGTTCGGCATAGATTAATGGAAGCAAAGCTTAGGCACATTTGCCCACCAATTGGTTGATGTAAGTTTCATTGTGCCATTGCTGAATCCCCATTGAAGGCCTAAATCTTTTGGGAGACATTTAATTACATTCGAAGGTGAAGGAAAGAAATACTCAATCGGATTGTGTCATCGTATCATCATTATTCAATAAAAATTTAATAAAATGAATAAAGTAAATTTTAATTTTGTAAACAAATAACTATTAAATTACATGAAAATAGCGGTTACTAAATTATGTGAAATCCACTTATTACTTTCTTATTGAATAGTGACATCACATAGCGTTATCGAATATTTTTTTAAGTATGGTAGGTAGGTTCACTTTGCGCGTGGAGCTTTTTTANAATGAATAAAGTAAATTTTAATTTTGTAAACAAATAACTATTAAATTACATGAAAATGGCGGTTACTAAATTATGTGAAATTCACTTATTACTTTCTTATTGAATAGTGACATCACATAGTGTTATCGAATATTTTTTTAAGTGTGGTAGGTAGGTTCACTTTGCGCGTGGGGCTTTTTTTNAATAGTGACATCACATAGCGTTATCGAATATTTTTTTAAGTATGGTAGGTAGGTTCACTTTGCGCGTGGAGCTTTTTTAAAATAACCAAATTATTAGATATTTGGAAGGCATTTTCAACCAAGTCATCGTGTATATAAGCGCAAGTCATGATACTCCACCAAAATGTACCTGTGATCATGGCCAGCTCCAACCTTCGACTTTGGAAAGTCGAGTTCTTTCAACAAATATACATAAGGTATATTCACACAAAAAAGAAAAAAAAAATCCATCGTATGCTACTTAGAGGATCATGACACGAACTTCAAATTGCATAATCTAACATAAAATGAAGAAATGTACTACCAAATAAAGTAATAAACCACTGTTAGTACTCCTACATATGTCCCTATCACATCTATTAGAACACATCTTATTCAAGCATAATTTATATATATTGTACAAAATATATCGATTAATGCCTAGCAGCTTAAGGGCTCTAACAGGCAGTGTAAATTTGCATCTGACTCAAGATGTGCTCAAAGTTATCGGTAGACTTCTCAATTGGATGTGAATGCATCCCTTCATAAGTTGTAACAACGATTCCCTCGTCTTTTGACAGCCTTTGGACTTGCTTCTTAACGTTGCAACCCTGATGAGTGCACCGGTAGTAGCTTCTACACACAAGAAATAAAACAAAGTCATTTAGATATGTGAGACAAGATCAGTACTCAACTTACATGATTACTGCAAATCTATGGATCTCAACCAAATCTAAAAGTCTAGTTTAAAATTAAAGGTAATTTACAATTTAAACCCTTAAACTATATATGCAAATAATTTATATTATTTGGTCCCAGAAGTTTTAAAATATATATGTATATATGCACAATTACATCCTTAAAGTATTAATCGAGTTTCAATCTAGTTTTTCCATTCATATCTATTAATTTGTTCCGAAAAAAAAAGTCATATAATTCACTCCATATGGGTATATTTATTCATAAAAAATACATCAATATTTCTCTGTTTGTCTCGTAATATCTATCAAATTCTCCCTCTACATTTTTTTTCTAGGTTTGTTATCGTTTTTTTCTTAAAATGAAAAAAATCAAATTTTATAGCCTACACGTAACAGATTTTTTACCAGACAAATATACTCATTTAGCCAAGCCATGTGTTGGTTGCAGAAGACCATAATAAATTGATGAATTTTGATGTAAAGATTAAATTAAAACTCAATTAAAATTCTAATGATTATTACAATTGAAACTTCAAAGACTAAATAGGAATTCAGTGCATGCTTTAAGGGTATGAATTATAATTTCCCCTAAGATTAATGTGTGGTAGGCGCCTCCTTAAGATTAATGCTTTCTTTTAGATAGATATGCTATGAATTGATTAGACATAACTTTATACATGTGATCTCTTAAATTAGGTAGATGCAACATCAAGGATATTATGAATCATCTGTCATGTATCTCTACTTTTTTAAACTGAATAATAGTTAGTAAGCACAAATACAATAAACAATCCATATCTTGGCTACTTAGTGAGGGATTATTTTGCTGTTCTATGAACATGCAACGAATATTTTCCCACAGGCCGTGACAGAAATTAAACTTGCAGTTAGAATTCAAGTCATTCGCATGGAGTTCTTTGTCATTATTGAAGCTTGGAATTGCATTAATGGAAGTTTGTAGAGTACTCTTCCCAAACCATCATCACTTTTCCTAAGAATTCAAATTGTATTGAGAAAAGAGAACTAATTAAGAAAGTGCATCGATACGCTGAGGAACTGACCGTGAACAAAAGTCCGAGCAGCCTCTTCTGCTTTCCATCCTCAATCCTAATGAACTTATAATAGCCAACTTTGCAGGAAAAATTGAATTTAATATAGCCAATGGGTCGCACGTCCAGCACAAATGGTTTGGTCTTGTGTGTTCATAACTCAAAATAGGTCACCTAACGGCTATTGTCCGACTAAACATACCAATAGTCACTAGATTCATATGAGTTACTGAGGAGTAAACTATTCGTCTCTGGAAATTAAATTGGAATGATTGAGTTATCTTCTAATTTAATTACTAGATCAAGTATTGGTACCATTACCATCAATAGTTGGNATTGTCCGACTAAACATACCAATAGTCACTAGATTCATATGAGTTACTGAGGAGTAAGCTATTCGTCTCTGGAAATTAAATTGGAATGATTGAGTTCTCTTCTAATCTAATTACTAGATCAAGTATTGGTACCATTACCATCAATAGTTGCCATTCCCCTAATAATCCGATGATGTCTGCTAAAAGCTTTAGCACTGAAGAATGAAGATATTGAATTGAGAGAGGGACGATCACAAAGAACACTACTATTATTAAGCATTAGGTTAAGAGTCAGGCTTAGACTTAGTATTTTTGAACTAGGTAAAATGCAATATATGGAGTTATGATTAAAAGGTTATTATTGTGGTAGGGGCATTCTTATGACAAGCCATCCTCTTTCTCCTTTGTCATGACTGAATNTGAATTGAGAGAGGGACGATCACAAAGAACACTACTATTATTAAGCATTAGGTTAAGAGTCAGGCTTAGACTTAGTATTTTTGAACTAGGTAAAATGCAATATATGGAGTTATGATTAAAAGGTTATTATTGTGGTAGCGGCGTTCTTATGACAAGCCATCCTCTTTCTCCTTTGTCATGACTGAATATCACAAGGTCCACGGACCACGGTAGGTAGGAAGAAGATCGAAAAAATAATACTTTCTGAGGTAGGAAAGAGAAAAGGTACAATTAAAGAACTTCTTAGCATGTAGTTATGAATCTTGCGTTAGTTATGAAGTTGATCAAAGCCTTGCAACCAAGTGCAGGTTCACAATGCCTACGATCATAGATCCAAAAGAGGGAAAAAAGAAAAAGAAGAAAGATCCACTATATGAAGCCATTCATAATAGATATTGGAAATGATAACAAACTGTGAAAATGCGTGATCTATTTACTTAAAACCGCATCAGTGACCAATCCTAAAATACACCCAAATGTACATAAACTGAATTGAAGTCATAACAAACCAGAAGAGAAACCCACTTACCTTGGAAATTTGTTGTTTTTCACGGCCTTTTGCCCATATTTCCTCCATCTATACCCATCATCAAGTATATCGACTTGGCTCCTTGTCTGAAAAGCATATCTAGGCTTTCTAATCTTCTTCTCTCCCTTTTTCTTACCTGATTTGACTTCATGACTTTCAGCTCCGACCAAACTTCTGCTCTGAGAAACATCATTAGCATCTGAACTTTGGGGGGCACCCAAGTTTGTCATCAACGCCAAGAACCCGTCAGATTTATTACCTTGAAATTCATTATAAGAATGGGAGTTTACCATATTCAACGACAAATGAGAAGCCGAGGATGTTGAAGATGAATACGGAAAGACAGTGGAACAGTTTTCCATGGAGAGGGAGAGAGAGAGAGAGAGAGAATTACAATTCCAGTAGAGCAGAAAAAGAAGAGAGAAGAATGTGATTTTCTGTGGATAATTATAAAGGTGAGCAGTAACGTAGATAGATCAAATTTTAGGATCAAATTTAGAGTTTAAATAATATGACAGTTGATTTAGATTTTTTTGATTGACGTCATGTCATTTGGACTCCAATAAAAATTTTAAATAATTAATTATGTCATTTAAATTCTAAATTTGATCTTAAAATTTGATATGCAGTATTACTCAAAGGTGAGATACGACAGAAAGGTGGAATGGTGAGGCGGCTTGATGGTTAGTAGCCCAGTTTTTCTATCCTTATGTTTATTGTCGTAAACGGCACGTAAAGTCTTGGAAATTAATTAAATTGGTAGTTATTTTAGCACTGATTTTGGATTTAAGGCATAATTGTCGTACGGTGTACTGGTTGGTTTTTGACAGAGTTTATATTTCGTGCTATTCATACTCACTAGAAACGAAACAATGCTTTGCTATTTTACCATGTTGCCCCGTGGAGGCTGAGATGCATGACTATGTGTTTGGTATTCAATTATATTCGTCAAACCGTCAAAACACGTGCGTTCAAAATAAAATATTGTTCTCATTTCCAAATTATTTTCCCAAACAACTTGAAAGGAGTTAACTCAGTCCCATTTAATAACGATTGTTTTTCGTTTTTCGTTTTTTGTTTTTCGTTTAATATTTAGAAAAAATAAAAAACTCATTTGATAATCGTTTTTATTTTTTTATTTTCTGTCATCTTTTTGTAAATAATGGACGATTTTCAAAAACGAAAAAAAGACGTTTTTCGTTTTTTGATTCTATTTTTCGTTTTTTAGAAAACAAAAATCATAGACGTTACCAAATGAGTCCTGAGGGATCTATATCTCTTTGAAACTTCAAAATGTATATATGTTTTAATTTAATAATCGCAAATTAGGTATTTATATTGGTATAAGAGTATCTCCAACAACAAAATGTATTTTACCTACTCAAAAAACAACATTTTCTATTTTAACTACTCACTTTTTCAATGGNTAATGGACGATTTTCAAAAACGAAAAAAAGACGTTTTTCGTTTTTTGATTCTATTTTTCGTTTTTTAGAAAACAAAAATCATAGACGTTACCAAACGAGTCCTGAGGGATCTATATCTCTTTGAAACTTCAAAATGTATATATGTTTTAATTTAATAATCGCAAATTAGGTATTTATATTGATATAAGAGCATCTCCAACAACAAAATGTATTTTACCTACTCAAAAAACAACATTTTCTATTTTAACTACTCACTTTTTCAATGCACACTCCAACAGATTTTTCATATTTTTATTTTAAATATTATTTATCATTTTTTTTGTATTATTTTTTTTGGGAATAATGAAAGGGAGAAAAAGAGAGAATGGAAGAAATAAGAGGAATAGACAGAAAATAATATAAATTATTTTTACAAGTTGCTACAGTGATACTCTATATTTAGAGTATCACTGTAACAAAAATCTATTTTACAGTATATGAACATAATCTGTTGGAGCATGATTTTTGGTTTTATTTAGCTAAATTTGAGCTATTTTACTCATTTGAAGCATATGTTGGAGATGCTATAAGACCACTTTTACAAGTAAATATTAGGTGTAACGGTGACACTATATTATCATTGTCATGTCGTGTTATCAAACAATTATAAAACAACAAGCAGTATTGGTGAACTCCATTATTCTAACACNATAGACAGAAAATAATATAAATTATTTTTACAAGTTGCTACAGTGATACTCTATATTTAGAGTATCACTGTAACAAAAATCTATTTTACAGTATATGAACATAATCTGTTGGAGCATGATTTTTGGTTTTATTTAGCTAAATTTGAGCTATTTTACTCATTTGAAGCATATGTTGGAGATGCTATAAGACCACTTTTACAAGTAAATATTAGGTGTAACGGTGACACTATGTCATCATTGTCATGTCGTGTTATCAAACAATTATAAAACAACAAGCAGTATTGGTGAACTCCATTATTCTAACACGACAAAGGTAGTTAGTAAAACCGTAGAGCCTACTAAGTCCACTTGGTATTCTATTACTGGTTATTTACACCATATCATCAATGTCATATGATGTTACCGTTATATCTAATATTTTTTCCACTTTCACAGAATATTGTATAACTTGACCTAAAAATTTAACTTAATTTATTGACGTAATAATGTAACTATTAAATTTTTTTATTAAAATTCTATCACTTGGTACAATTAGATCAATTTTTAACTCTCAATTCTCAATAGTATTACTCTTATTCTGGGGACCTATACTTAGCAAGTGTCGACCGGCACCTCACAAGGGGAGCCCAGCTGACCGGCAACCCTCCTAAGGACCCAACCANTATTCTGGGGACCTATACTTAGCAAGTGTCGACCGGCACCTCACAAGGGGAGCCCAGATGACCGGCAACCTCCTAAGGACCCAACCGGCTAGCAGACATCTTACTGTGACTCATCAGGTACCCACACCCAAGGGCGGAGCCAGGATATTTGTTTATCCCAGGCTAAGTTAAGCATTCATACAACTAACAAAATACAAATGTAAACTCATAAACACTTACTAATGAAATTGAACTCTTCGATCCTTCCTAGAACAAAAAGCATCTATTATGGAATCTGTATCGATTTTTTCCGTTATTTCTCTTTGATNACTTACTAATGAAATTGAACTCTTCGATCCTTCCTAGAACAAAAGGCATCTATTATGGAATCTGTATCGATTTTTTCCGTTATTTCTCTTTGAATGTAGACAACTAACGAATCAGTCAAATACTCATCTTCCATCTTGTTACGAAGAGTACTTTTGACATGTTTCATGGCTGAAAATGCTCTTTCTGAAGTTGCTGTAGAAACGGGAAAAGTTAAAATAAGACGAATCAACTTATTAATCAAATTGTAGGATTCTACCTTATTTGTTTCTACANGAAGAGTACTTTTGACATGTTTCATGGCTGAAAATGCTCTTTCTGAAGTTGCTGTAGAAACGAAAAAAGTTAAAATAAGACGAATCAACTTATTAATCAAATTGTAGGATTCTACCTTATTTGTTTCTACTAAACCACGACATAATTCTGAAATTGTAGACATATTTTGAAACCTCTCATGGCAAACCACATCAAATTGATAATGATCTAGTTGACATTTCAAATGATGCATGTCTTGTCTATCAAAATTAGCTGCATAAAATTTCTGAGCAAGTAAACAAATGCGATCAAGATTGAAAGATTTAAAGTTGTCCCGAGGATCTAAAGCAGAGCTGAGCATAAGCAAGTCCATTGTCTCTTCATTGAATCTACTATGTAACTCTTCTAACTGATGATCAATCGTAGCATTAAATAAGTCCATGTGATAATATTGATCAACTGTAATGTTATCATTCTATTGACATGAATGTCTTGCCCCTTTGTACTGAGTGCTCATATCAGGTATATCGACATCAAATTTCATGCAAATTGATTTCACATGGCCAAGGAGATAATCAAAACCTTCTGTTCGCAAGGTTTGAAGCAATGATTTTGTCGATGAGACTAAATTCATTGCGTTCAAAATATCTAATGATTTATGCTGCAATAACCGACAAAGCATATCCGTAATCCCCATAATCTTGTGCATAAGATGCAATATGAATATGAAATCGAAGGACTTCATTGCCATTAAAGAACCACCAGCTTCCTCACGAATTGTATTTGAAGATTCTTCGTTAATTATACATTCAAACACACTAATGATAGCNAAGGACTTCATTGCCATTAAAGAACCACCAGCTTCCCCACGAATTGTATTTGAAGATTCTTCGTTAATTATACATTCAAACACACTAATGATAGCATCATACATATCTATTAGACCGCAAATGGATTCAAAATGTGAGCTCCAACGAGTAATACCAGCTCGATGCAAAGTACCCATCTGATTAGCCCCTTTACCAGTCTCTCGTTTACCACAAGTTATCCCTCTTTCAATCTCAATAGCTTGGGCAGATCGCAGTTCTGTATGACGCTTNCATCATACATATCTATTAGACCGCAAATGGATTCAAAATGTGAGCTCCAACGAGTAATACCAGCTCGATGCAAAGTACCCATCTGATTAGCCCCTTTACCAGTCTCTCGTTCACCACAAGTTATCCCTTTTTCAATCTCAGTAGCTTGGGCAGATCGCAGTTCTGTATGACGCTTAGGAGAAGCACTAATAAGATTGACAATGCATGTCAATTTGGAAAAGAATTGCCATATTAAAATCACATCTTCAGCAGTTGCAACTAATGCAAGTTGTAAACGATGAGCAAAGCAATGAACATAGTATGCATACTCACAATCATTGCGAAACAAAGCTTGTAATCCATTAAATGCACCACGCATGTTGCTAGCACCATCATATCCCTGACCTCGTAAATCTCGAATGTGCAAATTGTGTCGAGTAAGAACTTTTGATATTTTCTTCTTAAGAGTTAAAGAAGTGATATCTTTAACATGCACAATCTCAAAAAATCTCTCCCGTAAAAAACCCTTAACATCAACAAATCTCATAACAATTGTCATATGTTCTTTATTTGATGCGTCATTTGTTTCATCAACCAAAATACAAAACTTANAAAAACCCTGAACATCAACAAATCTCAGAACAATTGCCATGTGTTCTTTATTTGATGCATCCTTTGCTTCATCAACCAAAATACAAAACTTGGTATTTCCAACTTCTTCACAGATTTTTTCTCTTACTTTAGTAGCTAGAATATGCAAAATATCTTTTTGGATCATAGGAGACGTATACTTTGCATTTCCTGGAGCTTTCTCTAAGACAACATCATTTATCTCAACATTCAACTTTGTTATCAAACTAATCATCTCAATTAGATTACCATGGTTTTTTAACATTACAGATTCATCACGACCTCTCAAGGCACATCCATGTAAAGTAAGTCATTGAACACTATCAATGGTAGCCTTAAGACGCAATCGATTTTTCTTTATTTCTTCTGAACTTTGAACATTCATAACTTTATCAAT